GTAGGAGGAAGGTGACCTAATTAGTGGCCGGTGAGTGTATATCACCAGACAGTGATTTCAGTGGTTGTCCAAAGATTTTAATTGCACATTCAACGAGATAAAAAGTTAAAGAGCATTTTATTTAATGCTATCCAGCCTCATAGTGCATATTGATTTCTTTATTCTAATTTACAAGCAGAGTAATGCAGCAGTTGGCAATTATTCAACTTGCTAAGTGTCTCTGCCCCGCATATACAGACGCATATGCTGTCAGTGATGAGGTCGCATTTTATTTCATTTATGGGACTGTAGCATTGAATAATTAGGTTAGCAGCCAGAATAATCCTTTTTGCTTACAGGGATTACAGCTGGTTCAATAAGAAGACAAACTGCGGCGGTACTTTTAGCTCCAGCCGCCCGTCTCCCTTGTGGTACACCGTTCATCATGACCGTGAATCGCAGATTGGATCTGCTTACTTTAGTCGTATTTAAACCTATTAAACAAAGAAGATATGTTTGGCTGCATAGCGCAACATCAAGCAAATCATGTTAAGTTTATGTCCCTTTTATGCTCTAGTGATGCTCTGGTGATTCATTCCCCTCATATACCACGGCTGCCACACTCTAATGTGTACTTTAATGTTATTAAAACTTGCCACCTTTGAGGCTTCCTTCCTCCCCATTACACACACTAAGGAAGCGCTGCGACCGGAATGCCACGTTTTAAATGACATACAAACACCTCTCACAGTAACGCCTCGCTGCTCTTTGTCCCACCGGATACACTCGTTGCTTTCAACGTCACATTAATGCACCTTGCAATCACAGCCATTTGGTGCATATGCTGGCAATGCAAGTAAATGAATGTATGGCCTACTGCGAGTAGTACGTGTGTGTATTGAACTAGTTGGAATAGAATGGATCTACGATAAGATACAGCAGTTTGTCGTATTACAAAGTCCAACATATATCACACATGCATGTGCAGACACGTTTGTTAATGTAGAGGTATACACAGGCAGACAACAGGCATACACACATCATGCAAACACACATCAGGCAACCGTCGTCCCGTCTCTCTTTCACTCGGGATGTTGACAGTTACTGGGAGAGCAGAGGCTGTTTGATGAGTCAAGTCCTTTGCTGCCGGTCTTCAGAAGTCCTGAATATGGTTCCCTCAGGTTTAGTTAAATACTGTAAGAGGAAATCTGAGGCAGATGGGGGAGGGCGATGGATTTTTATATTTGCATAGTGGAGAGAGGGCTATGAGTGCATCTAATGTAGGTACTAAACCACGGTGACGGCAGTTAGCACCATTTCAGTAACATTATATGTTGATAAGTTCCATGTTCTGTAAATACAGACTAATTGATTAATACACCCAGAGGTTGACATCACCACGGTGTTCAACAAGGCTGTGGTGTGATGGGGGTCGGTTCTCAGTCGTCATTCTCATTCGCTCTTTCCATTTTGGCTTCTGAGTGGCTAAGGGAGCTGTCGCTCCTTTCCGCATAGTGTTGGTCCGATCCAATAGGGACCAGACAACCAAAATAAGCAGTTGAAACGTGCAAAATGGGCAATCAGAGTCGGATTTAATTCTGCTGTTTCTCTGCCGTGAGGCCTGGAGTTGTTTTCAGTTTGTTTCACTTTTTATGGGTATGACATTTTCGGATTAGAGGCCAAAAAACAGCCTCACACTGGACAGCTAGCGCCTCTTACCACTCACCAATACGGATATCTGAATTATTAGTGCATCCGATTAGAAAAATATATTAATTCACCCGTTAAAAGATAAATGGAGACACTGGCCACATAATAACATAAATATACAAAAAAAAACATAAAAATCTAACACAAATATATCGTTAGATGCATAAAAAACGTTTGGCTCAACATTCTGCTCCAACAGGTTGTTCTCTGGGGAGAGTCGACCAGTTCAAGGCTCTGAAATGACCCTTCAACCTCCAATGATTAACAAGCAATATCTGTCCATTTCCTCCAATCTTCCATAGCTGTTTTACCTTGAAGACCCCTAAATCCAATGAATATCCCTGCACCCCCTGGACTCGTTTACCCCTCTCGCCTGCAGGACGCATGCACTCAGTGTTTCCCCTATCATTATAACTGGGGGGCGCCCCACCCCCCAAAAAAGTGAGCAATTAAAACAAAATGTATGTATATTGTTGTGTTGATGTTCCCTGTCCAACCAGACCCAAATTGTTTTAAAGGTACAATTCTACTAGAAAACAACGCACACCGCAGGAGACAACCAACAGGTTGCAGGTTTATATGCCCCCAGTTTTCCTCCTTTATGTCCTTGCTAATCACTTATAAAAAAAGTACATAAAATGAATGAAGCTTAAATGCTCCTAAAGGCACGTTTCAAATTTGACAATCAGAATGCATCAACCCTTCGTTGAGAGATGCCATTTCACTCAGTGACAATACAAAATCTGCACAAGAGTTCCTTGTTCATGAACTCCTCCTCCTCCCTTTTGGAAAATGAAGGGAATTACTAACAGAACACCTGTTTGAAGTCATCACCATGAAGCCCTGAGGGGAATCGACACTGTGTACATTTTAATCAAGAACATGTCCTACAATATCTACAACTCAAAAATTGCACTCAGAAAAATAAATGAATATTAAACATGACTGACTTGCAACCAACAATATGTAAAGCCCTATTTACAATATAAGCAATCGTAACACAACTGTCAATAATACAGATTTATTTTATTTCATTTACCAAATACTCCATCATAACCAACCCAACCACAGACGCTGGAATCCCCTGGAAACAGGTTGGTAATAACATCTTTTCAAACACCAGAATACAGCTCATTCAATACAAGATTGATTTCAGATAGTTTGAATTTGATTTTTTTTCATTATTTTGTTGTCTGCTTTTAGGCGTTTTTCTTTGGAATGGCTTCCTTTTTTTCTCATAACAACATGAGTCAACAGTGATAATGAAACTGAACGATCGTGTGGGCAGATTCCAGACATAGTTTAATTACAAACTACGTGGATGATATCTGTTTTTTTCAGCCATTTTTGAGCCATTCTAATCGAAAGTACAAAAAAACAAAATTGAAACGCTGCTCACGCGGATCTTGTGTTTCGGTGAATTGAACATGAAAAATGTCAAAAGACAGGATGGGCGCCCCACCAAGTGCAAGGGTTAGTATCTTTGCTTGATTGGTGTTGGCAGATAGGGCTCCTTGCTTTTATTGTTCCCCCCAAATCCTAACGATGAGCATCCGAATATAGGAAGGTACAGAGTTTGGCACAGAGTCTCTGAACGGCAGAGACGGCGTGGGAAGAAGACAGCCTCAGACTACAAATGAGGGCGCCCACAGGGACAGTCTCATCCGTCACACATGAAATGATCGAGTCTCCGAGACACGGCCCTTTAAGACGGCGCGCCATTCGCACAAACACACATGCATGGATCTTAACGTGCATCCACTCCCACGCAGGGACTGCAACTGAGCGTGACGTGCATATGATTCCAGGGCCGTTGAGAGAAGGCACACACAGGCGCCATCAAACTAGCCTGTCTTTGCATTTGGACTTCCTAAGGACCAAAGTGAGTCCTTACTAGCAGTGGCAGCCCACCTATGGGTACGACCAGACATGAAGGCTTGACAGAAGGCCTCTGTCACTGCAGAGCCCCTGATGTAAAGTCACAGTGAGAGTGCAGACTTGTTAGGCTAATAAAGGATTAGTAGCACATAGAGCCCTTCCTGTTCTTGTTCCTCGGCCAGCTCTCCCTCCCTCTCTGTACAACTCAATCCTCATATAAAAGGCTTTTGATGAGGGTGACATCATTTGATTCTGTTTAATATGTTCTAAATCACTGCTTCTGATGGAGAAAATTGACATAAGTTTGGGGAAAAGACTCATAAATAAAAGGTTTTAGCGGGCAACAAAACGTGACAGATAGACCCTTTCGATGTCGTGGCTTTGCTACAGGCGAAACAAAGGAGGGCCAGGAGGAAACCACAGATCAGCTCAGAGTAGTACAATAGTCCCTCATTGAAAAGGCAGCCTTGCTGTGTTTTTAGTATGACGGACCACCACGTAACCTTTATTCAAGTGATTGGGTCCTAAACGTTGTAAAATGCACCAATCAGCTGAATCAAGAGTTATTTTCAGTCCACCCTCCATGTGAAAGGGCCGGTAACGAGGCTGGAGGGGTGGGAGGCGGGTCTACAGAAGCGCTTACTCTTCAGGCCCCAGAAAGCTGCAGGATCAAGGAGAGGACAAAACTATTGGAGCGACGGGGGGACACATGTTGATAATAGGCCATAATGCAGAGTGAGGGAGAGAGAGTTAATAGTTTTTCCCGTCAGCTAACCGTAGTTAGCTGACAGGTCCTCTCCATCTGGGACATGTCCAATCCACAGCGTCAAACAACGTTTAGGTTAGCAGTGTAAGCAGCTGTTGCCAAATGCTGGAATACCCACTTTTCCTGCTGGATACTCACAGGCATCCAAAGATTTAAACACCCTCAGATGGTCCTCCACCCTTAACCTTCGGCGGTGTGGAACAACCTGGCCCTCGTGTCAGGGTGGAGGCCCCGGGTGAAATGGTGCTGTTGGTTCACGTTTCTAGAGTTACACTGGCATCCCTTGAGAATGAGTGACTGTACATAAATCAGAGAAACTACCGCTTTCTTCCGTGATTTAAAACAAGTAAGCCAACAAAATTATCGAGGCATTATTAAAGAAAAGCTTCAGGGAATATTCTGGATCCCACCTACGCTGCGCCGACAAAAATACAGCACCATGTGTACTAACAGCAAAGAGGTCTATTAAGGACTCGGACGCAATGACCCACAGCATGCTGCTTTGAACTTCCACAAAACAAAGCAAAGCTGATTCTAAGAGAAAGGTTGGTGCATCGTTATGGCCATCATGCGTGAATGGACAGGGACATCTCCCTATTTATTGTGTCAGTGCACGTTACCATTCACTCTGCCTGTGTGCTGTACATGCATAAAACAACACGCTTACCCTGTGATGCGCGGAAGCGTGTCAGTGGAGAAGAGGCCGAGTGGCGGTTTGTCCCGCTCTATGAGCCATAAGGTGTACTGCCCACTTTGCTTGGGATGGAGGAACACAGCCATGTCTAGGCTACAGGGGCCCTGCCCCCCCCACAGCCAAGGACTCAGCACCCAGGGGCCACCAAAGGCAGAGCTGTTCACCCAGAAAAACTGACCTGAAGGAGAGAGAAGGAAGAAAGGACTGTTGAACACAGAGCCAGGTTGCACTAGGACGGACAGGAAGGGTTAGAAGGTTACGGTGTTATTCAGCAGCAGTGAGGAAACTGGAAAATGATTATGAATAAACCAGTTATGAAAGTCACGAACACGGCGTGCTGCCACAGTACGTCCAGAGGTGTGATGGGCTGTGATTTCACATAGTTTGGAGGCAATGGCTGAGAGGAGCACTTGATGAAAATTCATGAAATAAATCGGCTTTGAAAAAGTGCACTGAATGACAACCTTTGCCCCAAAAAATGAGAGTTGGAAGCGGGTAAAAATCAAAGCACTTTTTTCTTCTTGCTTTGATATGAAGTTCCATTTCCCTTTAGAATCTATTGCGTGGATTCAAGCAGGAAGTTCATTGGAAGCTGAAAGTTGTGTGTGTGGGTGTGTAGGGGTGGGAGCACAGAGAATCTCAAATTGAAAGGAGGAAAATCTAATTTCAATATGCTCTGTTAAGAAAAGTAGCATTTTTGAGGAAGCTGACAAAGTCAAAGCCAAAAGGAGGATCTGTCCCTGAGGCCGTTGTCAGGTGGTGTGGTCAGCTCCCTCGAATTATTTGATTTTTCTATTATTTCTTTCTTTTCTTTTCTCTTCCTGAGATGTATTGTAGGTCTCTGATTCTGTATTTTATAACACTGATCAATGTCCTGTAAATACTGCTGATTTTAACTACATATGCATATTCACGTGTGCAAAGTGAAACATGATTAATCAGCAAAATTCTTCCAAATAGAAATCTAAAAGTGAATTTTTTGGGAAATACTTTGGTATTTTTCATGTTCATAATATGGTATCTGTTGGGGGAGAATTTGCTGAGCTGCAAATTGTGAGTGTCTCAAGAACTCGGGATGTGACCTTTCTTGGACCTTTCTTGGAAAACTGACCTGACCTAGTTCACAATGGCATCCGGTTTTGAAGATAGGTGCCTTGACTGATCATATCCTGTCTTATATGATTGACTAGGCCCCATTAAGGGAGGGTCACAGGCGTCTCCCAACGACATCTGTGTACAACTAATCTTCCTTTTGGAGCGGGGGGGGGGGGTCTTCTGTTTTCCTTGACACGAGCCTTTCAGAAGCTCCTGCTCTCCCCCAGAAACTTGGTCAGATCTTCTAGCTCATCCGTGGGAGAAAGAACAATCTGTCCCTTATTAGCTGAATTGTACTCATTTGACTTCTGTCTGTACTTATGACTTGTGTTGATGATTTCTGTGTTCTTTATCATGTTTCTATATTCTAGTTAGTAATAAATACTTAATCACACAGCAAGTTCAAGATACTTTTGATTTCTCACAAGGGCTTAATCCACAAATTTCCACCACAGTATCTACTTGCAAATTTCACATACTTTATTGTTCAAAACAGTTTCTCATACAGTCTTTCTAGATAAAACATTTTGGGAGAAGATCACCAACCCTGCTTTTGACTTTCAGACAGAGAAATACAGATTTTCTAATATATTCCATTTTAAATCCTCCTTACTTATTCATCCAACAATCAGAGTAATAACGTGTAATGAGGGAAAAAAGAAGACATCTGCTGATGTAATAACCCCATCCGATCCTTTTATTTATTAAATGTGATGACTGGCGGTCCAACCTGTACACATACTTACCTCCCTTTGCACACATTGCTAGCCAGTCTTTCACACTAGGTTTGTGATCTTGGAGAATGTTTATTTATCATTTTGGGGATTGGCTGTCAGTTTTGCCAAGTTGGTACCTTTCACCCAAGGTTTAGACATTTGCTGAAGCGCATGTTGCCAGCTACTCTCACTTCCATTTAAACATTGCGCTAGATTTAAAATCTTGATTGTTTCTCAAGATTACCGGTGCCAACTTTCCTGAAAAAGCTTGGTCTGCACTGATTGGCTTGAAAGGAAAATATAGCGCACCTTCATACAGATGGTTTTTCAAGGTGCATGTCACATGGCAGTAGGAGCAACATCTCAATGGCTTGATGAATAGCATTGATGGATAAAGAAAAGACATTCAATTTCAAATAAAAGTTTAAAATAACTACAGGGTAAAAGCAATTTCCGATCCCTTCTGTCATCCACTTATACTTCCCTTTCCCCTGAGGCTGCTGCAGTACTGGCACTTTCGGAAGCCTTCAGATTGGAGTTCTCCAGTTAAGCCTCATTGGCTCTCCCTTCCACATTTGCATGCATGTTACACAACGGGTCCAGACCATTTGGCAAGGACAAACAGAGTGCTTACAACAAGTTTGCCGGCAGCGTGGACTGGATGCATTTACTACACACCCTGCAGCGATTTGATATAAAGGCTTTAAGACTCGGCCACAGAGCTTTGTGTCTGAAAGAAGAAAGCTATTAACTCCTGTTTCCCAGTTAAAATAAGATCAAGAAATACCTGCTTGGGAGCAATAATTGGCAGGGTACAAATTATACGCCAAGCGCAAAGGACAGACTGCAATTCTGTTAGTGGAACTGAGCCTCGACTTCACCTGCGAGTACTTCTGCCTAACAGAGCTCGATGGCCTCATTTACTGCATCACAAGGCTTGTTTCAGCGGATTATCCATCACAATCTGCATGGAGCAACGTGATCATTGGTGGAGGTGAAGCAACCAGAGGTGTCAAAAGTATTCACATTCATTACTCAAGTAGAAGTACAGATACTAGGGTTTAAAAAGACTCCTGTAGAAGTTGAAGTACCAACTCAAGCTTTTTACTTAAGTAAAAGTATAAAAGTACTGGTTCCAAAACTACTTAAAGTATAAAAGTAAAAGTAATGTAAGAAAATTCCATTAAAAAACTCTTAATGCGTAACCTCGCTCACACAACACGTCAGTCCGTTACAATGTGATCAGGAGGTGCCTGCAGATCACGTGACCTGCCGTTGGGATGGTGGAGACATGGCGATATTCAGAGACACAACAAAACAACAAATGTATCTGACTTAAACAGATAAAACCACAACCCATTTTCCAGTGTCACACACACACGTTGTTCCCATTGATTAAGTAGACTGCAGTGTCTCCCCCAGGTTTACTACGTCGTGGGGGGGGGGGGTCTGACTTTTTACGGGGTGGGGGGCGCACCCCTGTTTATTATGATGGAAAACACTGAACTGGCAGCGGTCGGTTATAAAAACATTGGCCAAATAACCAGTATGTTCAGGCTTCGTGAGCAAATACAGAATCCCTCTGTGTTCATTTCCAAAGCCGCATTAAGACACACATGACTTTATTTAATACGCTGCACTACTACGACTACGCAAGTCGCTGTGTTGTGCCAGACTCTCAATAAAACATTTAGGGCAAACCCAGGGTCATGAAGATACTCATCTAAGGTTACATGGAATCTGCGTGAGGAAGAGGAGGAGGAAGAGGAGGAGGGTCCATGTCGCTAAATACCATACCATATTTTTAAAATGTAAGGAGTAGAAAGTACAGATATTTGCGTGAAAATGTAAGGAGTAGAAGTAAAAAGTCGTTGAAAAATAAATACTCTAGTAAAGTATAGATACCCAAAATGTCTACTTAAGTACTGTAACAAAGTATTTGTACTTCGTTACTTGACACCTCTGGAAGCAACACCGACGGCGATGAATTTGAAGCCGACTATGCATTAAAAACAGAATTCTGTGGGTGACACCTGTCTTTAGATTCATTTCCTTGAATGTTGCCTGTACTGATGATGACTTGTGGGCCCTGTCCAATAATACATGCTGCATCAGGACTCAAACAGTATTAGATATCTATTCCAAGATAAAGGCTTTTCAATTTCAGATGAAATCGAGGCTCTGTTGCTGGAAGGAATGTCAATTACTATTTCGTAACCAACACCAGTACCTGTGGTCTGTTTGTCGTACTTCACCACAGTTGATAGACTGAAGCAATTCATAAAAGAACATTGTTTATCAAATGACACTTGAGTGTTGCACCTCCGAGGAAGACAACAAGCCCCCAAGAAAGGAGAAAGATTTGAATCCAAAGTGGAAGTCGTATTCTGTATCAATAAGTCAAGATGGTAAATACTTTTTTTTTTTACCTCTGTGCGATTGAAGACTCACTAAACTGAGGCTCTTGTTGACATAGCATAGCAAATCAGACCAATTGTTGATTTGAATTCCCACAGATAATAAAATTGCAGCTAAAGGCCTGGGAGAGGGAGGAAAACAAGCCATTCAAATTGTATTCTGTGCCCAATCTTCTGATAACATTATGCATTTACCAAACACAAACACGAGCTTTCGGGGTCCCAACAATTTCAACGGCTCACATTTCAATTTACAAACCATTCAGTGGAGCAGCAAACAGCTTCCACGGTAGAGGGATGGTGAGGAAGTATGTTCAGCATGCCAATAAGCAGCCTACTTGAGATTGTGTGTTGTTATTGGTTCTTTCTGTAGAATGATTTTCTGACAGTGATTTTAATTGTAAACCTTCCATAAGTGATTTTCTTTGGCCGATTGGGGGCAGCGGAAACAAGTTGTAAATATTGAACATCATCCTCACTTGTTAAAATGGTTAATAAACTTGTTTTCAAACAGTTGCTTCATCCAGCTGTTACAGAGCAGCACAATTAGTTTCAAACCAGTTTTATGATCCCGTGATGAGCAGGACATGCCAATATTCTCTAGCAAACAGGAAGCAAGTAGACACTGCGCAAGTAAATCTGGCTTTGACCATCTATTAAAAAATGTAAAATTAGGAAATTATCGTTATTTTATAACAACAGCAATATGTTTGACACATTTAAAGTATTTTTTCAAAGTCGATACTAATGATATGATATTTTTCTCTAGATATGAGCTTTGCACCCAACAGTGTTCATCACTCTATTCTATTGTACTACCTTGTATAGTGGAAACACTGATCTATATTGAATACCACTGTTTATTTATCTAGCATTTAAAAATAGTGAAGTTTGCCAAATTCTCAAAATAAAGTGCTAGATGTTCCTAAACCCTGTACGGCTAAATGAAA